ATAAAAGGTAAAGAGGTATTGTCTTGTACGAAACAAATGCTCCATTTTTATATTCTTCCTCATTCTGCACCCACGTGCCATAGGAAAGAATAGAGAGGGTTGTTTATTTGGAACAAAAAATCATTAGGGTTCAAATGTTTCGGTGAAAATGTATAATCCTAATTCCTTGAGATGATGGAGTGTACATGTTTTAAGGGATTTATCAAGTTGGAATGAGAGAAAACCTAATCCTTTAAAAGGTGAGATTTGTTTAATGTCATATAATGATATTAAAGATGTAAAAAGTAAATAAAGTTTTATAAAGTAGATATAGAATGTAAAACAAATATTTTAAATGTATATTGAGTTAACTGGTGTTTTCAATAGGTATACCACGTAGATTTTCTTAGTTTTTATCGACTTTTCTATGAAAAGAATAATAAATGATAACTTAGTCGAGATCAAACCGATTAAACCAAACCGCACCTCTACTGCTCCCTCCGTCTCAAATTATTTATCGTGTTTTTCTTTTACACACTTTTTGAGAAAATATTTATTATAAAGGATTTTGAACTATTTTACCCTTATTTATGTCTTAAGATATAATCTCTTTTCACTGAATATTTACTCTATTTATGTGTTATCTCCATCTTCAAGATCAATTATTTCTAAGGAATTACTACTAAAGGTAAAATAAAATAAAATAAAATAAAAAGTAATTATGTCTTGAACTTTTAAAATGACAAATAATTTGAGACAACTATTTTAGAAATATTGATAAATAATTTGAGACGGAGGGAGTACTCTATTCCAGTTTACGTGAACTTTTTTGCTTACCAATATTTTGAAATATATTTTTTATCATATTGACATAAAAAGAACCGCAAACTGTAGCATTTTTCATGTAATTTTTGTATATCTAAAATTTAACTTTAAAATATTGAATTAATATAACCCAATTTACCTTTAAAAATTAGTTAAATTAACTCCCAAAAAAGCAAAAAAGTACACATAAATTAGAACAGATAGAGCATTAATTTATATTTACACTAAGTTATACTCCATCTGTTTCAATTTAGATGACACACTTTTCTTATTAATCCGCTCCAAAAAGAATGATACATTTCTACAATGGGAAATAATTTAACTTTAAACTATTTCTTTTACCTATTTTACCCTTAATGAGAAACTTTAATAACCACACAATATCAGGGTCTCACAAAATTTTTACCCCTTAAGCTTTTAAAGCCATAAATTTCAAAAAGAAAAATTCTCTTAACATTCGTATCGTGTCAAACTAGCTCATATGAATTGAAACGGAGGCACTAATTATTATTTGGACGATTGATCGAATGAAAATGTAAAGTACTCTTTGGGTTCCTACTTAAACCTATGAGAAAATGTCATCTCTTCTATAGTACATTTTCAAGAAAGTTAGCCCTTTTTGTACTTTGTCTCTACGAAGAGAAAAGAAGAATATTAATCTTTTACCGTTGACCTTCAAACTCCTATAAAGAACCAATTCTTATATTTTCTAGATCAACTATAAAGCTTCAATTAAAGGGATAATTATTAAAATAACCTACACTAAATAGATCTTCTCAATTCTCAAGCCTAGTGGAAAAAGTTATACCTTGAAAAACTAAAAACTGTTCCAGGATTCTAGTGTAGTTTCAAACTCGAGCAGTGGTTTAGATTGTAACCCATTTACCAATGGTCTATGTCCTTTTGAGTGTAAAACAAAAAATGATTTTTGCTTGGCATCGTTTGCATATTAATCACTGTAAAGAGTTAGAGTTTCAAAAATGTAAAGAATAATTATACCGTTAATTAGTATATTTTATCCTATTATATCATGTAAATATATTATATTTTAGGTTATTAATTAACTCCACTTTTATGGATGGTTACATAACATAATAAACTCAAAAAAATCAAAAGTTTTCTTAACGGTATAGTAACGTCACATGAATAATCACAATCAAAGGAAAAGTAATGATATGATAGATCAACAGTCATTAACATAATCACAAATTTTAAACGCAATGTCAAAATATAAAAAAGTACGTACACAAAGAAAATAAGGAAAGTCAATATATAATATATATATATATATATACATAAAATAAATTTTTAATCATAGTTAATTAATAATTGGAGTATAATTTTCAGACGAAAGAGCGTTAATTTACATCCCCTAACATAAGGGTGGGTGGCTCTGCCACTGTGCGCACGTAATAATAATTAAATTACATGAATTCTCTATCTCTTTCCTTAACTACTCTCAATCTGAATATTTTGTTGAACCAATCTTTTTCGCCCCATGATATATAACGGTCTATCTTCAAAAAGGAGAATGCAGTTTCCGAGTATTATTACCTAACATTCTGCCTTAGTTCCAGTCAAACCAAAGGTGGTCAGTGGTCACCACAGTTTTCGTACTTAAGTAAAACTTTAGTCAAGATTTGGACTACCTTTTGGTAGATTTCCTTTAATGTTCTTTGGTTAGACTCACTCATGAGTCAATTGATTTGATAATTAATAGTTACAAAAGTACTAATCTAAAATAATAATATTTTACTTATACACACACTATAATTTTTGATACAACCGTATAGCTTCGCCCCGGAGTACAAATGAACATTGATCATGAAAAGTTAAATATGTTAATTAGTACGATTTCGTAACCAGGCAAGTAATTTTTCGCATATTTGCATCTTCTACCCCTTCTTATATTTCTCTGTTGATAATATCTTATGCTAGATTAAAATAAAGCTACCTTTTTCTTTATATATGCAACTACAAATAATTTGAAAATGTTACCGCACTGGTGAAGCAGGGAGTATATACAAAGGTTGCGTTAAATTCATTTTTGAAATTATCTCTAGAAATTCAGTGAATAATGTGATAAAAATTATTCTGATAATTGCACATAGTCATCTTTATTTATGAAACTAATTTTATTTATTATTTTAATATTCATCTCTGGATAATAAAACATGAATGAATGTGTTTGAGGTCTCAATTTTCTAAGAAGAAAAAATAATTAATATAACTCTTTGAGGGTTATTTGGTTTAAGGGATTAGGTAGGATATCTCCATACAAATTTTGAGATTAAATTTATCTTCTTGCTTAAAAATATTACTTCTTCTGGTCTATTTTAATTAATTTTTTGATATTTTTTGTGGTTCACAATATTTGATTTTTTCAGATATCAAGAAGGAATTAATTTTTTTTTTCAAAATCGTCCTTAGAGTAAAGAGGCTAGAAATATTTTTTGTATTTTCAATAAATAAATTAAGATTAATATGATCAATTTTATTGTTAATTAATGCTAAAAGTTGAATTTTTTAATATGTGTGAAAAGTAAAAACAACCGAAAAAATCAATTAAGCTGGACCGGAGAAAGTAGTTAAGATCGGTATTTTTTTTATCCCAAAATTATAATCCTAAAACATCTTGATTTGAATCAAACGATTCCTCACTTTAAGGGGATTATACAAAGAAAATAAAAAAGAAAAATAAAACAAATTAGGTGCCTCTAGCAAGTGACGAGCTGCAGCTAAAAGACTAATCAAATCAAATACTAATAAAAAGTTCTGTAAAACCCACCAACGTTGACTACTTCATTAGTCACTTTGACAACTAGTCAACACTTTTGTTCATGGTTTTTTGTGCCCTATTTTTTCTAAATAAAAAGGCTACAATAAGAGAGGACTAAGTTCATTGGAAAAATAAATACATAAAAAAAGATTTAAGGTCTTTGCATAAGCTTGAAAGATAAAATTAGAGTAACCAACACGTAGTAAAATAAAAATATGCATGGCTACTTTTTTTTGTCACCAACTCTCGACATAAAGGTCCCACGTTAATTTGCTAGACCCCACAATCTTGAATTTGCCCAAATTTTAATATTATCTTATTCTTATGCAAGGGGAAATTAGGCCTAAGAATGAGTAGTTAAGATTTATTCCGCTTTTCTCTAATATAATAGAGAACAAGAACAATACTCCAATAATTAAAATAGTTGGTCGCAAGAGGAAATTAGCTAGTTTTAATCTTCAAATTATAACGCAAAATAATATGATATATCGCTCTCAAAATAATAGTCATTATA